GGCCGGCGGGAGTGCAAGGAAGCCCCGCGAAGGCCCTCCCTGGCCCCAGGCAGGCAGGGGTGGGGAGAGGCAGGGAGGAAGCAACTTACCCTCCCTCTTCTCCTGCCTCCTCCTGGCTGAATGAGGGCTGGAAGCGGGGTTGCCGGAAGCAGGGGGCGGGGCTTCGTCATGTGCCCCGCCCCCCGGTACCTCACCCGGGGGAACTGCGTTTCCCCACGTTCCCCCCCGAAATGACCTCTGAGACTCCCAGATCCTACTTTGACACTCTAGTTGCTATACCATTGCTGGCTCTCTTAGTTTAGTTGTTTCTCCTACTTATTTAATTTAGTTATTAATTTTTAAAATATTTATACTTTACTGTCAGCGACACTCATATACCCAGGCCAGGGCCCTGGCTATCTGATGTACACAGATTCCCTGTGATTCCTCCTTGGCCTGGGCGTATGCCCGTACTCTGTTGGCGCTCCCTTTTCCCTAGTCTCTCCCCTGTGCACACTCTCCTTCACACCTCTGTGCCCTGTTCTCCCTGGTGCCTCTCAGTCTCACTCGTTCTTCGGACCAGGGCTTCCTTTAGGGTCCTCTCTCATGCCAGTCTCCTTCTCCGTTCTAAGGCTTGGAAGTCTGGCCTTGACCCACCACCTGCTTCCCGCTACCCCCTTCCCCTGGCCTCTTTCCCATCGATCTCCAGGCCCCTTCAATGTTGAGCTGCTGTTCCTTCATCTTCCTGGGACTTGTGGAATGGAGCACCAGATCTGCTGTCTCCCAGGGCTTTCACCTGGCCCCTGACCCCTTGGCCCAGCTCCCAGCCATACCAGCCAACCCTTTAATTTTTGGGGGGGGGCATTTTTGTGTGTGTGCGCATGCGTGCCTGTGCCTGGAAGTCATGGCGATCTCTGGCGACTCCTACTGGGGCATGGAGGACGTTCACAGAAGTGGCTTGATAGCCTTCTCTGGCCTTCTGCCCCGGTATTCCAAGGAGGTCTCCCACCAGCGTCTTGCCAGGGTCGGCCTTGCTTAGCTTCTGAGATCTGAACAGATTGGGCTTGCCTGGGCGATCCAGGTCAGGTTCAGACCCCACACCCCTGATGGCATTCTGGCATTCTTTCTGGCTAGCTGTGTTAGGGTTACCACCCCCCTGATGGGGGCGGGTTTTCCCCAATTTTGAACCCCCAAATCTGCTACTGGCTGATTGGTCGATGGGGGGGAGTCCCGTCCACAAAGAGCCCCACCGTGCCTGATATGCCCGGGGTGACGACACCACCCGGAGGCACGTCTTGGGGGGGGGGGGCGCTCTAGCATTTGGCTAAAAACTCTATGGTGACAATCAGTGTTCCCTCTAAGCTGAGTTAGTGTGAGCTAGCTCACAGTTTCTTAGCCTCTGGCTCACACATTTTTGCCTTAGCTCGGGAAGGATGGCTCCAGAGCAAACGAATTTATGCAGTAGCCAAATCGCTCGCTCACAACTTTAATGCCAGTAGCTCACAAAGTAGAATTTTTGCTCACAAGACTCCACAGCTTAGCGGGAGCATTGGTGACCATATAGTTTTTGGCCAAATGCTAGAGTTTTCCCCCATGACATGTCTAGTGCAATGACATCACTGCTGGGTGATGTCATTGTGGTGCTGTGTGCTTCGTGTGCTTGCAAGGAGATCCAGGAGAGCGGGCTGGAGCCCCCTGTCAGCAAGAGGTAGGGACCTGGCAACCTTAATCTTTGTTCATTTCCATCCGGGCCATTTGGAACTCCCCAACACAGCCGAGGCCCTGCAGGTAGGGGTTGCCAGCTCCAGGCTGGGAAATGCCTGGAGATTTTGGGGGTGGAGCCTGAGGAAGGCAGGGTTTGGGGAGGGGAGGGACTTCAGTGGGGTGTAATGCCCTAGAGTCCACCTTTCAAAGTGGCCACCTTCTCCAGGGGAACTGGAAATCAGTCATAACAGTGGGAGATCTCCAGCCACCACCTGGAGGTTGGCCACCCTACCTGCAGGGCATCTCGCCTACCATATCTCTGCAAGCTCAAGTCAGCTAATAAAACAGCAGAAGCTGCAGGACACAGAACCCTGAATGTCCAACAAGTTACGACCAATACAGGCTTAAAAGCCACTAGGCAGGGTTAAGACGTTGAGAAGGGTTGACCATCCTCCAAATGCTCTCTGGAACAGAACAGCCTTGCACCCCTCCCTGAATGCTACAAGCGAAGGCTCCCACAGACAATACCCATGACTGGGCTGTTGTCAACAGAGCATCCCAAGTGAGGGCACCACCAGGATGTTTTCCACAGTGTCAAGTTTCCCTGCGCCTGCACTTGTATTCCTCTGCTGCTTTGCCTTGTTTCTGCAGATGTTTTTGCAGTCCCAGGCAAAAACACAGTTTGTTTCCTGTTGCTCCGCAGCATCAGACTTCCCTGTTTCCAGGAATTCCCATGCTTTGCCGCAAGAGGGGGAAAACTGCATTTTTGCTCCTGGGAGGGAGAAATCACCTGCGGAAATGAGGGAAAGCCACAGATAAATAGAATAGCAGGCAGGGGGAAACTTGACACTGTGGAAAATGCCCAGGAGAAGGCTGTCTGAAGAACACAGCTGGTGCATGAAAATATACTGGAGATACAGTTTGAGAGGTATGAGGATCAAGGACATGAAGAGTTTAAGGGTGAAAACCGGCAGTTTGAATTGGGCCTGGGAGCAAAGAGGCAAGCAACGCAGGTTGACACAGCACTGGAATTATACATTATACACTGGAATTATACATTCCAGGCAGCTGATCCCAGAAGGGAGTCTTGCTGTCAAATACTGCACTAACTGAAGCTTACAAGGTGTCTTCAAAGGCAGCCATCAGAGAGAGACAGTAGTCCAATCTGGGGCTCACAGTAGCATGGATCAGGGTGGCTACAACAGCAGACACGAGGTATGGGGGTAGCTTATGAGCCAGATACAATTGAAAGAAGGGTCTCCTAGCAATGGCGCTGACCTGCTTATCCATCAAGGCCTGGACCAGGAACACAGCTCTGAACTTGATCTACCAGAGAAAGCTTAATCCCCCTAAAGCTGATAGATCAATCCCAGCTAAGCAGTCGGCCTTCCCAAACAGTAACCAGTCTTCCTGAACTAAGGAGAGACTGACTAGGACCGAGACCTTACATAAGGACAGGTAGAAGACTTTGGGGACCAGTTCTCCCACTTACCACAGAGATTTGCCCAAATCCTAGACTGTCATGTTAATGTCATGCTGATGACATGACATCACATCTGGTATTTGGTGGAAGTAATGTTACGCTGCTGGTGCAGTGCCATTTCCTCCCATCCCTGTGCCCCTTTGCTGGTTGCCGGCAACCCTATAAAAAGAAGGAACTGGGGTTGCTCGCTCTGACTTGGGAAATTCCTGGAAATTTGGGGGCAGTATCTGGGGAGGGACTTGCATTTTTCCTAAACGCTGTGTTATATCTGCAGTCACACACACTACATAGACCACTTTCAATGCACTTTCCAACTGGATTTTGCCAGTTCACACAGTAAAATCCAATTGGAAAGTGCACTGAAAATGGATTGAAAGTGGATTATTTAGTGTGTGTGACTGCAGCCTTAGAGGTCCTTTCCACATTTGCCGGCCACTCTGGATTTTCTCAGTGTTTGCATCGAGGCAACTTAAGTTCACCATGGGAAAATAGCATCCGAATAACTCAGGGCAACAGCAGGCTGAAACTGGGCTGGTCACTGAAGGGAGGTGATGCAGTGCAGAATGGGGCAAAAACCCGGAACAAAAAGAAGGTTGAACTTGATTTTAGTGCAGAATTGTTTGGAGGACACTGCGGTGAACATGGATTAAAAGGAGACTGCAGAACGGGCCAGAATCTGCCCCTCCAAAGCTGCCGTTTTCTCCAGGAGAAAATCATCTAGAGATCAGTTATAATTCCAGGAGAACTCACGGCCTCGCCTGGAAGCCGGCAACTCCAGGCACGGACAGAAGGCGCTACAGTGCACTCACCAGGACTTTGCTGCGTTGGACCACGATCGTCATCCCGTAGACAGTGACTTCGACGACCTTGTTGGCAGAGGGATCGCGGGGGCCCTCCAGCTCATGTTGCACAAGGACCTGGAAGTGAGTGAGGTTCGTCCTCCTGTGGCAGAGTTCGGCCAGGCGATAAACACAGGTCCCGTAGAAGTCATAGTGCAGCCCATCAAAGGTGACATAATGCAACTGGCCCAGGGTGGAGCAGGTGCTGTGATTCAGGGAGTGGCAGCTCCTGATGCCGTTGTCCACGCGGCACACTGACCTCTCCCCACACTGGGATCCCTGGCAGATCACTCTCCTGTCTTGCGGTCTGCACAGGCAAAGTCGGTGACAACGTTGGTCATCCCAGAACTGCTCGTTGGGGGCATAGAGATGACCCTGGTGGATGCAGCCGCATCGGTCTTTAGGGATGCACCTGCCACTGTCCAGCACGTAGCCTGGGTTGCACTCGCAAGTCTCCATGCAAGGTAGGTGGCACTTCTTCGACGCGTCGAAGTTGTTGCAGGTGGCAGGACATGCTTCCTTACCTATGAACACACACCTGGGCTTTAAACCACGTCCAGTCTAGTTTCTCTCTAGTAGCTTCCTTCAAAGCATCTTATTAGAGGTTGGTAGGTCTTTACCAGGGCTTTTTTTGTAGAAAAAGCCCAGCAGGAACTCATTAGCATAACAGGCCACACCCAACAGCAGACACTCATTAGCATATTACGCCACACCCCCATGCCTTCCCTTGGAAGGATCTGTCCTGCGGGGAGCCCGGGCAAGCTGCCCCTTAGACAGATCCTTCCAGGGCCCCCCCTGGCCCGCCCACCTTAGAGTCGCTCTCCAGGCCTTCCCTCTGTAGCCACGAACACAGAGGTTTTGGCTGTAGTGGGCGTGGCCAACTCTGAAGCCAGCCAGAACTCCGTTCCTGTGTGTACCTGCCCAAAAATAGCCCTGGTTTACGTTTCCCACAGTTTCTTGAGACAAAGCAATGCCAATCAATTGGCTTTGACATTGGTCTAGATGTCCAGCATAAGCTCTATTATTTTCTTTCGGTCATGGTTACGTGTAAAGTGCCGCAAACTTGCAGCTGACTCATGGTAAGCCCGTGGGGTTTTCATAAAGGTAAAGGTTTCCCTTGCTCGAAAACCAGTCAAAGCCGACTCTAGGGGGCCGTGCTCATCTCCGTTTCCAAGCCAAAGAGCCAGCATTGTCTGAAGACTTTTTCCATGGTCATGTGGCCAGCATGACTAAACGCCGAGGGGCACGGAATGCTGTTACCTTCCCACTGAAGCGGTACCTATTTACTTGCAATTTCTTGCTTTCAAACTGCTAGGTTGGCAGGAGCTGGGACTAGAGACGGGAGCTCGCTCTGTCACACAAACTGCCAAGCTACCGACCTTCTGGTCTGCAACTCAGCATCTTAACCCCTGAGCCCCCGATTAACCGTTGATGAAATGGCCCCCCAACCCCCTCTTCACTCTCGCCCCAAACTAGCCCCGCGGTATTCCATGAAGCTTAGGGGGATAAAGCGGGAGCTCAGACGAGTAGAGTGAGTTTGGCGATGATCTTGTTTATGAAATCCTATGAGAGGGTGGTGAAGACTGCTAAAAGGGAATTCTATACAGTCTCCATTGCATCTGCTAGCTCTCGCCTGGCACAATTATTTAGGGTAATTAGGTCTTTAACTTCCCTTACAGAGAGAACTCAAAATGTTAGTCATCTGGCTATCAGCTGCGAGGCTTTTGCGAGCTTCTTTGCAGAGAGTCTTGTCACTCCACCGTGACTTGCCTGTCAACACTGATACAGTACATGAACTGCAGACCCCTTGGCCATCTGTGGATTCAGTACTTGACAACTTCCGCTGACTCTCCCGGGCTGATGCTGACAGGATTCTGGGTGCTGCTAAGCCGACCACTTATCTCTTAGACCCATGTCCATCATGGCTGGTGAAAGCCAGTGGTGAGGGAATATGCCCCTCCCCCCGTGGACATTATCAATCTGTCCCTTAGTTCAGGGGTCTATTCAGGGGTATTTAAAGGGGCTGTGGTAACACTCCTCTTAAAGAAACCATCTTTGGACCAGAGGTCGATTTGGGGGGGAACGCGGGGAATCGCGGGGGATCGCAGTTCCCCCGGGTGAGGTGCGGGGGGCGGGACACATGACGAAGCCCCGCCCCCTGCTTCCGGCCGCCCCACTTCCGGCCCTCATTCAGCCAGGAGGAGGCAGGAGAAGAGGGAGGGTAAGTTGCTTCCTCCTCGCCTCTCCCCACCCCTGCCTGCCTGGGGCCAGGGAGGGCCTTCGCAGGGCTTCCTCGCACTCCCGCTGGCCTTGCAGGTCCACCGCCGGGCCCCTGATGTCAGGGGGTGTGGCATATGCTAATGAGTTATGCTAATGAGTTCCCCTAGCTCTTTTTCTATGAAACGACCCCTGCTTTGGACCCTACAGTTCCTGCCAATTACCACCCAGCCTTGAATCTTTTCTGGGCTGGGCGATAATTTCTGGGCAAGCTACTTGAGAGAACAGTGGCAGAACACCTCCAGAGCTTCCTGGGGGACATGTTGGCCCTAGACCCCTTCCAGTCCAGCTTCCGCCCTGGCCATGGGATGGAGACAGCGCTGGTCGCCATCACAGATGAGCTTCGCAGGCAACTGGATCGAGGCGGGTTGGCGCTGCTGTTATTGCTAGACCTAACAGCAGTGTTTGATATGGTTGACCATGATTCGTTGGCCCACCGCCTTGCTGACGTAGGAGTTTGTGGGGAGGCCTTGAAGTGGCTTGCCTCATTTCTCCATGGTTGGGGACAGAGGAGACAGGGTGTTATCCCGACACCCCTTGGTGTGTGGGGTTCCTCAGGGGGCAATCCTCTCCTCAGTGTAGTTCATGTTTGGGCTGGGCTGTCAATGTTGGGATTGGGCTGTCCCCAATATGCAGATGACACCCAGCTGTATCTGTTGATGGATGGACAGACAGACACCACCCCAGCAATTTTGGCCAAAGGGCTGGAAGCTGTGGTTGGATGGCTGAAACATAGCTGGCTGAGACTGAATCCATCAAAGACTGTGGTTCTGTGGCTGGGACTCAGGGTCGAGGTGCCAACTTCTGGCTCTTGATGGTACTCCTCTAACACCGGTGCTGACCACCAAGAGCCTGGGTGTGCTTCTGGATGCTTCTTTATTGATGGAGGCCCCAATCACAAATGTTGCTAGACTGCGCCAGATCAGGCAACTGGCCCCCTTCCTGTCTCGCCCTGACCTAGTCACAGTAATCCATGCAACAGTCACCTCCAGGCTAGACTACTGTAACTTACTCTGCACAGGGCTACCCTTGAGACTGACCCAGAAACGACAACTGGTCCAGAACGCGGTGACTTGAGTTCTTACTGGAACCCCATCAACAGCACATATTCAACCAGTGCTCCTCCAGCTGCACTGGCTCCAGGTTGAACACCGGATCATATTCAAGGTTCTGGTATTAACCTTTAAGGCCCTAAATTGTCTGGGACCAATATATCTATGGGACCACCTCTCCTGGTATACCTACAGAAGAGCATTACACTCTGGGGAGAAGAACCTTCTGGTGATACCTGTCCCAAAGGATATCTGACTATCGTCAACCGGGCTATTGGCCTGGTGGAACTCTGCTTAATGACATCCATGGGACCTAGTGCATGCCCTATGGGACCTAGTGCAGTTCCGCAGGGCCTGTAAGACAGAGATGTTCTGCCAGGCCTATGGTTGAAGACAGCTATGGTTTCCACTGAGCCTGGCCTCTTTCTTCTCTCCTCTTTCCCCATGGGGTAAGGACAAAACTGGATCTTCAAGCGCCATCTATAATAGTCCTAGAATCTGTTTATTGTTTAAACTGTTTTAATTCTAACTTGTAAATGTGTTTATTGAAATGTTGCTCACCGCCCTTAGCTCTGTGCACAGGGGAGGGTAGTCTACAAATCAGATCAAATCAATAAATAGAAATAAGAGGTGGCTTGCCATTGCCTTCTTCTGCAGAGCCTTCCTCGGTGGCCTCCCATCCAAGTACCATCCCTGCTTAGCTTCCAAGTGCGGACAAGACTGGGCTAGACCAGGGGTGGCCAAACTTGCTTAACGTAACAGCCACACAGAATAAATGTCAGATGTTTGAGAACCGCAAGACATGAACAAATATTACACACAAGTTTTTATTGGGAAATATGCAAATTTGCTTTTTATTAACATTGAATTAGACTGTGTGAAAGAGCCACATGCGGCTCCCGAACTGCAGTTTGGCCACCCCGGGCTAAACCACGCCATTCCACATCCCTCGATATGTCATTAAGGTTACAAAATATTAGATGCCTGCTTTTCTGGTTTACTTTCCATTAATGGTTCTGAACTTTTTGGAAAAATCGAATGAGTCAATTCTTGCAAGGCTGGAGACAATCTAACACCTTAGCATCCATCTGTCTGCAGCACCCACTATTACAACAACATATAGGATCAGGTTAAAAGCCAACAGATCCTGTCCGGGCTCTGTCCTAAGAACATAGGCGCTCTAACTGGAATGGACGTTCCCCATCTCCTGCCGCAATTTCTCCCCCCCCCACCTCTGAGAAACACTCTTTAGCAGAGAAAAAGAAGAGGAGATTGGATTTATACCTCACCCTTCACTCAGAGTCTCAGAGTGGCTTACAATCTCCTTCTCCTTCCTGTTCCCATAACAGACACCCTGTGAGGATAGGTGGGGCCGAGAGAGCTCTTTCGAGGACTGCCCTTGAGAGCTCTGAGAGAACTTGTGACTGACCCAAGGTCACACCTGCAGCTGCATGTGGAGGCATGGAGAATCAAATCTGGTTCTCCCAGATTAGTGTCCCTGCTCCTAACCAGTACGCCAAACTGGTGGTAGAGGACAGAGATGGTAGTAGAAGACAGGATTCATAGGTTTAAATTAAGGGTGGGAAGATACCAGGTGGATTTCTTTTATTATTTGAAAAATAAGGGCAGTTCAGTGGTAGAATTGGTGGATCATCCCTTTTTGGTAGCTTTAAAGTGGAGGTTGGATGACCATTTGTCAGGGGTGCTTTAGATTATACTGCCTGCATTGGGGGTAGAACTGGATAGTCTCTAGTCCAGGGGTGTCGAACTCATTTATTATGAGGGCCGGATCTGACATAAATGAGACCTTGCTGGGCTGGGCCATGTGTGTCATAAAATGTAATGGCAGGTAGCAGAGATATAAATCTTATAAAGGACACAAACACAAAGATTTTTTTTACTTAAAATAACAACATGCTCAAAATGTTAGCACTGTTGCAATATTTTATTGAACAGTGTCTGATAAGTGACACCTCTTGCTCTGAATTACTGCATCAAAATGTCTGTGCTGCTGCAATCTTGAATATGCTGTTCAAGTGTGTATCTGTAAGCTGCGAACCTACTTTTGATTTATTGACATTCACTACACAAATCTCATGCTCAGAGTTCTGACCCTAGGACTCAGGAGAAAGCATGAAATGGCTGGGCATTGTGAGCTTTTTGCACATAAATTGCTTTGTGTACTGGTCAAGAACAAAAGAAGGCACCATGACACAGACTGAGGACTATGTGTTTGTCTACAGAACTATAGTCTTCCTCAGTGGTCAGTATCAGCCTACTATCTGGGAAGTCTAAGTTAAAAATCCCCAAAGGAAATGTACTGGGTGAACTTGGTCTGGACACACACTCTCAGACTAATCCACCTTACAGTTATTCCTCATCTATACAGTGCAAATTGCTTTCCTATTCAGAAAGACTGGATCATGAGGGCATGTATACAGTGATAAAGGGTGAGGGAACCCAGTTGCACCCAGGAGAGCCACAGCATAACAAGCGCAAACACACACACTGTAGCAAGGTACACAAAAGCTCATACCTTGGATAAAACTTTGTTGGTCTTAAAGGTGCTTTGTATTTCTTCCATGTGATTGTGTGCAAAGCAAACTGTCCCTCCTTCCCTCCCTCCCTTCAGGGAGGAGCCTCAGCCAATGGAAGGGAAGAAAGGCTTGCTATTCTTTCCTGAGCGATTGAGGCAGCCTGGCCAGGAAGCAAGCTCTGACTCCTTCCCTCTCTTCCTCTGAGACAGGGAGGAGCCTCAGCCAGTGCTGGGAACAGAAGCTTGCCTATCTCTCTCTCCTGTCAGGCAAAGCAAGCTAGGACACAGCAGCAGCAGCAGAACTGTAAGAAGAAGCAGGAGACAGCCAGTTCCACTGTGGGCCTGATAGAAGCCCCCTGGGGGCCTGATCCGGCCCACGGGCTGCATGTTTGACACCTCTGCTCTAGTCCCCTTCCAACTTTTGAATTCTATGATTCTAAGAGATACTTTTACATATCTCTGTCTGTTGGTTCAGTGGCAGCAAAGCAACCATGCATGCCAAGACGTTAGCTCTTAGTGCTCTTCCAGATATGAATCCTGGGTCAAACGTTGCATCTAGTCAAAGGGTGGGATAGGTGCCCCTCCTGCTCTCCTTCCTTCAACGTTTTCTGTAAATCTGTTTCCATAGCTCACTATCAATTTCTAGCTGAATCTCTATTCTTATGTCCTGAACCCCACCCCAGGTAACCAAACTGACGGTTTTTTCCTCTTCTGAGAGCCAAAACGTTTTTGTCACCTATTTCTTTACTGCTTTCATGCACTGCTTTTACACAACAGATCTCATAGATCTTGGAAGCTAAGGAGGGTCTTCCCTGGTTAGTATTTGGATGGGAGACCACCAAGGAATACTAGGGTCATGGTGTGGAGGCAGGAAATGGCAAACCACCTCTGAAAGTCTCTTGCCTTGAAAACCCTAAGCAGGGGTGTCAAACGTAAGGCTTGAGGGCCGGAACCAGCTCATCCAAGGCTCTTATCCGGCCTGCAAGCAACTGCTATGTATGGAAATGTAAGGTACTCCCCTTTTTATGGTATTCCTTGGAAAAAACCTAGTCTTGCATATGATTAAATACATTTATTGGGGTTTTTGTGGGTTCGCCAGTAAATAAATTGGTTTCCCTGCTAGAAATCAATTGCTTTTGTTTGTATTTTGCGTAAAAAATAATATTGTTAATTGGGTTTGCCTGTGTCCTTTATAAAGTTTATATCTCCAGTACCTGGTGTGACATTTTATGGCACAAGTGGCCCAGCCCAACAAAGGGACACTTATGCCGGATCCGGCCCTCGTAACAAATGAGTTTGACATCTCTGCTCTACAGGTTTGCCATAAGTCAGCTGTGACTTGATGGCACTTTTCACCGCCACACAACATTTAGGCACATCTTCCGTTCACTTCTGGAACTCAACATCCTTGCCCTGAAGTAGAGGATTACTAGCCCCATCCCTCCCGCCATACGTCTGTCCTACTTACGGCAGCCAGCCTCTTTCCTCCAGTTCAATATCGCTGCCCCTTCTCTTTGGCAGGCATCTGCGTAAGTCTTTAACGCTCGGCATAAGATCTGCTTGTAGCCATCAAAAGCACACAGGTCACTCACACAGTTGTCCACGTAAGGTTTGTATCTGAGCAAGGAATGGCAGGGATGGAAAGGACCATCCTTGTGTTTAGCCATCAGTCCACAAAAGGCCTCTGTGCTGTACCTGGCCACGAGCGCTGGGGGGCAGTGCCCGCATTTGCCCTGGCAGCCATGAGTGCAGGTTCCATTTCCATCCTCCACCTTCCAGCTCTTGCCAAACTCCACTGAGTTAGTGGCCAAGCCACCAGAAGATGTCACAAAGTCATCGTTGGGATCTCCATTGTAGTTGCCACAGAGGCCGCAGACATGGCTTCGGAACACTGTGGTAGCCTTTATCACGAGATAATAATTCCAGTCATAGTAAAGGTTCAGGCCAAAGTCCGTCTCAATGACCAGTTGGCTTCCCCGGTGGTGAAGAGAAAGTTTCCCATCATGCAAACTCATGGGCAGACGTGAGCGCACTTGGTTGACCTGGAAGTGGCAGAGACAGAATTAGACTCATCATTTTTGGTTAAGGTTGCAGACTGCCCCAATGTTTATAACAATACTCCAAAACTATCAAGTGGTTTTAGATTTCTGAGGTGTCCAAGACAAAAGGTTGGATCCAGTGAGCTTTTTCTGACTTCCTCTCATTCAACTGTCCTTTATATACTACAGCTCCATATCCCTTCGGGCTGTTGTCCATACAGGTCCCATGATCTTCAGCATTAACTTTTTTGGTGGTCAGAGGAGACCTCCTTTTCCCTTTCCAGTTTGGTATAGTGGTTAAGTGCACGGACTCTAATCTGGGAGAATCGGGTTTGATTCCCCACTCCTCCACTTGTACCTGCTGGATGACCTTGGGCAAGCCATAGGTCTGGCACAGCTGTTCTTGAAAAAGAGCAGTTTCTGTCAGAGCTCTCTCATCCCCACCTACCTCACAGGGTGTCTGTTGTGGGGAGGGGAAGGGGAAGGAGTTTGTAAGCCGCTCTGAGACTCCTTTGGGTAGTGAAGGGTGGGTTATAAATCCAATCTCTTCTCTTCTTCTTCTTCCATGAATGGAAAACCTTGTTGGACCCAACCTAAATATTTTAGCACTGACTTGGCCAATAAAGGTAGAATTACTTGTGATTTGGGGAGGGGCTGTGACTCAATGGAACAGCATCTCCTTGGCATGCAGAAGGTCCCAAGTTTAATCACCAGAAACTCCAGTTAAAAGGGCCTGGCAGTAGGTGATGGGAAAGACCTCTGCCTGAAACCTTGGAGCGCTCCTGATAGTACGAGTAGACAATACTGACCTTGATGGACCAATCAGTTTGATTCTGTATAAGGCAGCTTCATGTGTGCTCATGTGATTTTGTGGTTGGCTTCCAGCTGACAGGAGTCCAGCTAGACTTCACTGATTTGAAAACCCTGATCCACACAGAAAACTGCATGTCATATGTTTTTGGTGGCCTTACGCCCACCTAGAAAGTCCTAGGTGTAGTATTGACTTGGGCCACTGAAATGCTTTTGTGGGAAGGTAACATGAGATGATTAACTACAGATCAGGAGAGCCATGGAGTTTGTAGCTGAGAAATAACAAGATTCGACAGAACAAAGAGAGTCAGTTTCAGAAAAGCTGGTTTGGAGGAATGGAGCCAGTCAAGGAGGCCCAAGGAGAGAATAAAAATAAAAGGGCGGAGTAAACAAGGATTACAACAAGAACATCAAAAGTTGGGGAAACAGATGTGAACAATATAGTTCCACCAACAAAACTTTCAGAATAGAGCCATACGTTAAAAACTGACACAGGAAGCAAGATGCTCTATTAACCATAAACATGATGTAGAGGGTAGGTTTTCTGTGCAAATCCTTGCTGAAAATTGTGTAAGAGTAAGCCTTGCAGGCCTTTTTGTTCCCATAGGGAATGCAATAAGCAGGAAGGCACAAAGATCCTACCAACCACTCTTAATAACACTGCTCAAAGATGGGATCTTACTCTGACTAGTCCGTATTCATACTTGACCATGGTGATGTTGAGGCTGTAGACGGTGAGGGTGACCTGGCTGACGAAAGAGATCGGGGTGCTACTGCTCTTCTGGCTCTTGGAAAAAACATGGAAGAACGGTAGCTTGGAACTGGGCTTGCAGGTCTTGACCACAGTGTAGGCACAGGTACCTTGGAAATTGTAGTTGCGTCCATCAAAAGTGTGGTAGTATGGCTGGCCAGAGGCCCAGCAAGCAGACTGGGTGGGGAAAACAGGAACACACTTGGGTAAACCATCCTTGACTACACAAGTCATTCCTGCACTGTGGCATTGTGTGGCACGTCTGTGCATCTTCCACACATCTGGGCCAGCCATTGATGACATGACATACAGTTCCCTGTTTACAATGTGTGCTTCGGCAAGATGCTGAAACGTGAACACACTGGGGTCTGCCATCCACCAGGTTACAGACAGTCCCCTCTTTACACTGAAGGTTGGCACAGGATTGTGGGAGGGGGACGCATCTGGGGATCCCTCCAACAATGTAACATACGGTCCCTGCTTTGCAGGGATGACTGGCACAGGATTGTGGGAGGGGAATACATTTGGGCAACCCATCAGTAAGCTGACATACGGTCCCTGCACTGCAGTGATGACTGGTACAGGATTGTGGGATGGGGATGCATTTGGGTAAGCCATCAACAACATGACATACGGTCCCCGCACTGCAGTGATGACTGGTACAGGATTGTGGGATGGGGATGCATTTGGGTAAGCCATCAACAACATGACATACGGTCCCCGCACTGCAGTGATGACTGGTACAGGATTGTGGGATGGGGATGCATTTGGGTAAGCCATCAACAACATGACATACGGTCCCCGCACTGCAGTGATGACTGGTACAGGATTGTGGGATGGGGATGCATTTGGGTAAGCCATCAACAACATGACATACGGTCCCCGCACTGCAGTGATGACTGGTACAGGATTGTGGGATGGGGATGCATTTGGGTAAGCCATCAACAACATGACATACGGTCCCCGCACTGCAGTGATGACTGGTACAGGATTGTGGGATGGGGATGCATTTGGGTAAGCCATCAACAACATGACATACGGTCCCCGCACTGCAGTGATGACTGGTACAGGATTGTGGGATGGGGATGCATTTGGGTAAGCCATCAACAACATGACATACGGTCCCCGCACTGCAGTGATGATTGGCACAGGATTGTGGGATGGGGATGCATTTGGGTAAGCCATCAACAACATGACATATGGTCCCCACATTGCAGTGATGACTGGTACAGGATTGTGGGATGGGGATGCATTTGGGTAAGCCATCAACAACATGACATACAGTCCCCACATTACAGTGATGACTGGCACAGGATTGTGGGATGGGAATACATTTCGGTAACCCATCAACAACATGACATACAGTCCCCCCATTGCAGTGATAATTGGCACAGGATTGTGGGATGGGAATACATTTCGGTAACCCATCAACAACATGACATACAGTCCCCCCATTGCAGTGATAATTGGCACAGGATTGTGGGATGGGAATACATTTCGGTAACCCATCAACAACATGACATACAGTCCCCCCATTGCAGTGATAATTGGCACAGGATTGTGGGATGGGAATGCATTTTGGTAACCCGTCAACAATGTAACATATGGTCCCTACATTGCAGTCATGATTAGCACAGGATTGTGGGATGGGAATGCATTTTGGTAACCCATCAACAATATAACATATGGTCCCTACATTGCAGACATGATTAGCACAGGATTGTGGGATGGGGATGCATTTTGGTAACCCATCAACAACATGACATATGGTCCCCACAGTGCAGTCATGATTGGCACAGGACTGTGGGATGGGAACACATTTGGGGAACCCATCAACAACCTGACATACAGTCCCCTCATTGCAGTGAAGATTGGCACAAGATTGTGGGATGGGAACACATTTGGGGAACCCGTCAACAGCTTGACATATGGTCCCCACATTGCAGTGATGATTGGCACAGGATTGTGGGATGCGGACACATTTGGGGAACCCATCAAGTACATCACATACAGTCCCTTCAGTGCAGTGATAGTTGGCACAGGATTGTGGCATGGGAATGCATTTAGGGAACCCATCAAGAACTTGACACACAGTCCCCACTTTACATTGGTACTGATCACAGGAAGCTACGATGGGAACACACTTTGGCCAGCTATCAACTATTTCACAAAGCGTCCCCACCTTGCATTGATATTTGTCACAAGATGGTGGGATGGGAACACATCTGGGCCAACTATCAACCATTTCACACACAGTACCTTCTTTGCATTGGTATTTGTCACAGGATGGTGGGGTGGGAACACATTTGGGCCAATTATCAACCATTTGGCAAACCATCCCTTCTTTGCATTGGTATTTGTCACAGGATGGTGGGGTGGGAACACATTTGGGCCACCTATCAACCATTTGGCAAACCGTCCCTCCTTTGCATTGGTATTTGTCACAGGATGGTGGGGTGGGAACACATTTGGGCCAACTATCAACCATTTGGCAAACCGTCCCTTCTTTGCATTGGTATTTGTCACAGAACAGTGGGGTGGGAACACATTTGGGCCAACTATCAACCATTTGGCAAACCGTCCCTTCTTTGCAGCTCACATTGTCACAAGACGTGGGGATGGGAACACATTTGGGCCAATTGTTAACAACTCTGCAAACAGTTCCTCCTTTGCAGAGGTATTTGTCACAAGATGGTGGGATGGGGACACATCTGGGCCAGCCATCCATGATTGTGCAAATGGTTTCTGGTTTGCATTGGAATCTGTCACAGGAAGGCAGCATGGGGACACATTTGGGGAACCCATCAACCGGATGACATACGGTCCCTACTTTGCAGATGACTTCATCACAAGACTGTGGGGTAGGAACACATCTGGCCCGTCCATCAACCATTTCACACGTGGTCCCCGACTTGCACTGATTTTCACCACAGGATGGTACAGTGGTAGCCGGCACACAGTTTGGCCAGCCATCAACCATCTCACAAGTGCTTCCTGCATTGCATTCAACCCTGTTGCAAGAAGGCAGGATAGAGACGCAAGTGGGTACGCCACGAACTAAGTCGCACATTGTCCCTAGTTTGCAGTGAATTTTGTCGCAAGATGTTGGGATGGGCAGACATCTAGGCAAGTCACGTTCCATCTCACATACCTCCCAAACTGCACATTTTATATCGTGACAAGATGAAGGCCTTGGGACACACTTTGGATGCCCACTGACTATCTCACACGTGGTTCCTTTTTCACACAGGAAGACATTGCAGGACGCTGGTGCTGGGACACACTGCGGGTGGCCTTGAACCATCTTGCACGCAGTTCCATTGTGGCAGGAGACTTTGTCACAGGAAGGCTCGATGGGCACACACACGGGCCACCCATTAACAATGCTGCACACAGTTCCTGGGTGGCATCTGAAGTGTTGGCAGGACAATGGCACCGGGATACATTGAGGTATGTTGTTGGTTATGACACACACGGTGTTTTCTTTGCAGTGAACGTCGGCACACGACAGCGGTGCTGCTGCCACACATCTGGGAGCTCCATCCAGCAGTTCACATATCGTCCCATCTTGGCATGCGATGTGATGGCAAGGTTGTGCGTAACGGGTGCAGCTGGGGAGGCCCTGGGCTATCTCACACACAGTCCCTTCCGGGCACTGGATGGTGTGACACGCCTGAGACTCTGCGATGCAATATGGCTGCTCCTGCCTGACGATGCAGACGGTTCCCTTTTCACAATTCATTCCACCGCAGAGGCTGGATTGAGGGCTCAGTGGGGGCACAGCCACTAGAAAACAGAAACACATTTGGGATGAACGGAAGCTGTTCCAGCACAGAAGTACCACGAGAAAGTCATGAGGGCTGAAGGCTGTGAGAGATTTCTCTGTTCCACAGAGATCCATACCTTTCTAACTGGCAGCTAAGGATTCTAATCAACTGGGATTCTAATCAATGCAAAATTGGATTTTAGCCATAACATGGGCACCATCGCACCGGTCAACACCTTTCCTGGTACCCGTCAAATGTTTTTAGAAAGTGGGTTGGGTCTCTTGCCTGGCAGGACTTCTGATCGGCTGACGGAGATCTGATTGGCTGTGCAGGTTTAAATAATGTTATTTTTGACGGCAGCCGCCGACAACATGTTGTTTTTATTCTCCCGCTCATTCTTCTTTTTCAGTGTGTTTTTTTTAAAAAATTCAGCCCTATTTTCCCTAGCACTTGGGCTTCCTCTGTGTGTGTGTCTGGCTCTGCCTCCCAGGCAGCCATTTTGTGCCTGTGCCCACCTCCCCGTGTCAGAATTCCAAAGGAGTTCATGTGATCAAAATGGTTGGGGATCCCTGCAGTAGTTCTTGAGAATGCTGATGCTGGTTTGGAGCCCCCCCCCCCCGCTTCAGGGTTATCAGGCAATGTCTGCTGGGCACTCCATTATACCTTATGGAGACCGGCCTCCATAGGGTATAATGGAGAATCGATCCATGGGCATCTGGGGGTCTGGGCTGGAACTGTTTTTTGAGGTAGAGACACCAAATTTTCAGCATAGCATCTGGTGTTTCTCCTAAAAAGAAACAACCCCAAGTTTCAAAAAGATTGGACCAGGGGGTCCAATTCTATGAGCCCCAAAAGAAGATGCCCCCTCATCCTCCATTATTTCCAAAGGAGGGAAGGCATTTAAAAGGAATGTGGTCCTTTTAAATGTGATGGCCAGAACTCCCTTTGGAGTTCAATCATGCTTCTTCCCTCCCCTCTCCTGGAGGCTCCTGGGAAGTCCCCCACCGTCTTGTCAGCCTCACCTGTCAACCCTATGTCACATGTAGCTATTTTTTTCATTCTGACTTAGTAATTTACACAACCATCCCCAAACATATCAATGGGTTGGATACAGACTAAGTTTTCCACCACTGGAAGGCACTTCCGTTGGCAGAACAGAACTTCTCTTCCTCCTTGCTCCCCAATGCAGTCCATTGATTTCCCTAAAATAATAATAAATGCTGCTCATGGGGGGGGGGACAGGGGACCCTCAAGAACGGCAGGAGAGTTGTCCAGATCTGAAGGAAGAAGAAGAAGAAGAAGATCTGAAGGAAGAAGAAGAAGAAGAGACTGGATTTATACCCCGCCCTTCACTATCCAAAGGTATCTCAGAGCGGCTTACAAACTCCTTTCCCTTCTTCTCCGCACAACAGACACCCTATGAGGTAGGTGGGGCTGAGAGAGCTCTGACAGAAACTGCTCTTTTTCAAGGACAGCTCTTATCAGAACTATGGCTTGCCCAAGGTCATCCAGCCAGGTGTAAGTGGAGGAGTGGGGAATCAAACCCAGTTCTCCCAGATTAGAGTCCGGGCACTTAACCACTACACCAAACTGGCTCTCCAAACAGGAATGGAAGGGGAAACTTCTTGAATATGCAACAATGGCAAAACTAACATCTTATATACATGATAAACCAGTCTCAGAATTTCAAGAAAAATGGAAAATATTATTTTTATTATACAGCTAAAAATTAAGTATAAACCTAAATTAAGATATAGAGTACGATAAGGAAGGCATTAGGTAAAAAGTGTTTGTACTAATAAACTATCAGAAAAGAAGTTATGAAGTTAATCAGGAAAGATAGAATAAAGATATGTAGATAGAGGATGATAAGAAATTATTCAAGCTAGTTCTAAACAATAACAAGTAATTATATGCTATAAAAGATGTTTGTGCTTTATATTTAAGATACTTTAAGACAGTGTAGAAGATGATTGTAGTAGAGGATTGTAGTAGAAAATTGTATTAGATGAACATTTATTGGTGTATCTGTTTGTTGTAGTGTGTGTTTTTAAAAAATTCTTTTCTGGTTGCTGTCTTGTACTTTACATTTTGTAATATAAACTTAATAAAAATTATTATTATAAGAACAGCAGGAGAGCCAAATTGGGTGGGGGGTGGGGAGGTCTGCAACAGGAAGTGGCAATGAGTAGAAATTACACCTCCCCTTCCATTTGTGGAAAGTTTAGTCCGGATCTGACCAATGTCCCTCAAATTCAGCATGAAAACCACAAATATAACACAGAGAAGGGGCTGTATGAAGTGGCTAGTGAAGGGGTTGTATGAAGTGTGGAGAAATGTCCTCCAGCTTAGAATTCACCCCAACAATTCCACCACTGGGTTACACTACAGCTGTGTCACGGGAGCGCCTCTGCAAATCTGTAGCTGGCAGGGAGGACAAGTACTGGGAAAGATGCACAGAACAGATATATTTGCATTCTTCACAAGACTTATGAGCGTGATTTCTCTTTTTTTGCCTTGCAGTTCCAGAGGTTTACAAATAAGCATGCAATAACCGCAGAGGCAATCAGCAAATCAGAAATCTTATGTTGAATACCGGGCTCTATACATGAAAATGAGTGATACATTGCTCATTTATACATAGTCGGTGGTGGAAAGCCAATACTTCTTGCCCCGGATCATTTGGACACACCTCCCTTGCCTTTAAATATCCATATTCAGGTGGGTCATACGTGCATACAGTCTAACATGAACAGGCCCAGATCATTTGGTGAAACTTTAGTGAAGGCCAAAGTTTTCTCTGGAAAATGGAATATGTGATCAGGGTATCAGCACATTGGCTTTTGTTTGCATATGCCCAGCGCAAATGATATATTCCCATGTGGATAGTTGAAGGAAAGGCAGGGTATGTCCTTGCTTGCCGTCATGCTTACAGAAACAACCAGAGTGAGAACATAACCTCCAATGCGACCCAGGACCAATGAAGATAACTTCTGCAAAATCCTGAACAGTGCTCCATTTTTCTAGTACTTTGTTTCTTGGGAATAAATTGCCTGTTTCATTTTTTTCTTTTATGATAACATCGCCATCAACAGTGGCACATAAAATGATACTTATAAACATATCAGTGATCTGGCTTTTCCTCAGGACTTAAGGCGGGCTCACAAATCAATCAAAATACCATAATTAAAGACATACAAAACCAACCCCCAGATCGACCCCTCTCTTTCAAATGCACAAGTCATTCCATCGTTGGCTTACGAACACACACATTTGGGGCCAATATTCAAAAGAGGGATGGTGCTAGACATCTGTCCCAACCCATGTCAGGACGTGCGTGTGGGGAAACCAAGCCATGTCCTTAGCTGCATGAAGAAACACGTGATTGAACACATGAAATTGCCTTAATGTCAGCTATGCTGCCATATGGTTTATGGGCCTGGGTTCGCTTTCGTGACCTGTGTACCAGCTGCCGCATTCCTTTCTTTTCACTTCTTCCCCTCCTCGTTATCACTGACCTTGTAGCCTGCCTGTGTAGTGTCTTCCCATCAATTAACCGCGTGACTAGTTTAGTTTCCCAGCCCCGGCTCTAACTGCTCTGGCCCTCCTCCCCGCCCGTGGGAGTCAGGTCAATTGGCCCATAGGTGGTGGTGGGGGGTACATTTGAATACCCTATATATCTCTCAGCATTCTATGGTGTAGTTATTCCTAACAGTGACTGTGTCTATGTTACCATAGTGCTAGCAATAAAGTATAACCTTCAAAGAAGCGTGTACTCTGTTGTTTGACTGTGGGTCCTGACATTCTGTTAGGAATAACTACACCATAGAACGCTGAGAGAGATATAGGGTATTCAAATGTACCCCCCCCCAACCTATGGGCCAATCGGCCTGATCAATGAAGCCAGACCCACAGTTCTCTCAAGGTAAATATTGCAGAGCTTTTTTTCCCTCTTCGACAAAATTCTTTTTAAAATGTTTGAAAGTTTATGAATTTTCAGTATACCGACTGAAAACTTCACTTCCCTCTTGAGAAGTCCAGCTCCTGGTTTTTTTTTTAAATAGCTCTGCAATATTGTCTACTCTGACTGGCAGCTGCTTTCCAGGGTCCCCGGCAGAGGTCTTTCACAGCACCTCCTACCTGATCCTTTTAACTGGAGATGCTGGGGATTGAGCCTGGTACTTTCTGCATGCAAAGCAGATGCTCTGCCTCTCAGCCACTGCCCCTTGCTACCCCTTGCAGTGAGTGCTGCTGTGTAGTCCTCTTCCCCAGTGCAGCTGCAAGTGCTGTCTGTGCACATGGACTTCTCTTCATGAAGCAGTGATCAGTCCAATTGGGTACTCGGGGAAAGTAGGGAAGCTGGGGTTTCGGACTCTTCCCTTCATTGAACAGGTTGACCGGCACAATTTGAAGAGGGCTTCTCAAGTAGAGCCTGCGTATCCTCCACCTTTCCCTCTTCTTATCCCTGTTTTCTAAAAACCAATCTGACAGATCCCTACCCCTATTTAGTCCTGATTTCTGCCTTGTTACATTTCACTTACCGTGAGCTGCTAATATTATCATTCATCAGAGTGGAACGCCAGTGTCCCTAGGAGTGAAATCTGACTGAGGGAGTGAACGTACCTTGGTCCTCATCAGGCATGCATGGAAATGCAGACGTTTGAACATTATAATATCATGAAGTACGCGACCTGCCATTTCAAATGTTGGCAAGGCTCATTTTTTGAAGAATAGCAGCAATACTAATTGTAGGTCCATTATGTTCTTCTAGCACACCTCTTACCTAAAGCAACCTCTTGGCATTCAAAACAGTGCAGGACAAACTATGCTAGAATATGGGAACACAGCAGATAGCCCTCAGCAAGGTGACCCAGTTGGAGCTCAAGCAGGAATCTTTACTGCGAGAATAGAAAAGTTACAAACGTGCCCCTGTTTTCAACTGTGAAGTGTCAGAGGACATCAGCCTGGCTGCACT